ATAGGGATAGAACACATAGCTCTCCTCACCACATGCTGATATGGGATATAAAATAGTTGCATACATCCTTTATTGCAGAACAAGAAACCAGGGAGCACTGGTTTGGCAGTCCGAAACTAACTTTCAGCATGAGAGGAGTTCCAGTCACTGTGAATACTGAGCCAGTTATATCCTTTCCTGAGCTTCCGTTTCTCCATCTGTACAAGTAAGGTCTGAAATAGTTAATCTTTAAGTTCTCGTCTAGGTCAGAGACATTACATTTTTAAGCGCTTTGTAAAGCAGAAATCCGGGTTGCTCTTTCAGAGATTCAAGAGAGGAAATGGAAAACACAGACCTCTCTTGTATCAGCAGTTGTTAGGTGGGGTGATCTAGGCAGGGGCAGGGAGGAGAACAAAGCAGAACTGTAGCTGTCACACAGGAGACACTAGCTGGTAGAGAGTTTGATATCCTCGGCCAGCCAATTGTCAGGAAATGAGGCATATGGTGAGACGGCTGGTGGCAGTACTTGCTGGCTACTCTCTAGGGCTGGACCAGAGATTACTTAGAGGAGGGAGGAAGGAAGTAGTAGGAGGAGAGAAATGACAACTGCATTTGATGCTGAAATACTTGCAGGCTTTCAGTAACATGAAGGACAAAGGAGCTCCATTCTCCCCACTGCCTGGAGCTCAGGAAGGGAGACTTGAAAAAGATAAATTTAGGGCTGAGCGCGGTGGCTCATGCCTGTAATCCTAGCACTTTGGGAGGCCGAGGTGGGTGGATCACGAGGTCAGGAGTTTGAGACCCATCTGACCAACATAGTGAAACCCTTTCTTTATTAAAAATACAAAAAATTAGCCAGGTGTGGTGTGTGCCTGTAATCCCAGCTACTTGGGAGGCTGAGGCAGGAGAATCGTGTGAACCTGGGAGGCGGAGGTTGCAGTGAGCTGAGATCACGCCACTGCACTCCAGCCCAGGCAACACTGTGAGGCTCCATTTCAAAAGGAAAGAAAAGGAAAAGATAAATTTAGACTCATCAGAAGTGGCTTGCCTTTCCACAGTGGGGAGGCAACTGACTTAGCATGGTTCCAAGAGGTTACATGGTCGGGAGATGGAAATAATTGCAAAGAAAGTTTAGCTGAAGCCAAGGATGACAGAGCTTAAATGGAATGGATTGCTCAAATATAATGGTGGTAGTCTTGGGAGTTTTCTAAATCTTGAGGTTGTCATCAAAAGAGAAAATCCTGGTCTGTTCACTCTACTCCTCTCCATGGGCAAATCAGGGCACTTAGACTCTGGCTGTTCAGAGGCAATCCAGGGTTGAGAAGTTGGAAACAATAAGCAGAGTGTTTGAGGCAGAACAACGACTTTTAATGGGCCTAAAGTTGTGTCTGGGACTGGGACTGGACACCCCTAGGCCAGGCTTTAAGATGCCATGCTCTTTTCTTTTCTTTTCTTTTCTTTTCTTTTCTTTTCTTTTCTTTTCTTTTGAGACAGAGTCTCGCTCTGTCATCCAGGCTGGAGTGCAGTGGCGCTATCTCGGCTCACTGCAAGTTCTGCCTCCCGGGTTCACACCATTCCCCTCCCTCAGCCTCCCGAGTAGCTGGGACTACAGGCGCCCACCACCACGCCTGGCTAATTTTTTGTATTTTTAGTAGAGACAGGGTTTCACTGTGTAAGCCAGGATGGTCTTGATCTCCTAACCTCGTGATCCGCCCGCCTCAGCCTCCCAAAGTGCTGGGATTACAGGCCTGAGCCACCACCCCCAGCGGTGCCATGCTCTTTCTTACTGACAAGTCTGTTGGCGGTGGAAAGATAAACACCCCAGGCAGTCAGGAGATCTGAGAACATGGGCTGGTCCCACAATGACTTGCTTTGTGAACAAGTCCTTTCCCTGCATGTGAAATGGGATCCCAGGATTTAATGAAGTTTGTTCAGGATCTAGCCTCTTACTACACATGTGGATCCTTCTTTTGGACCAAGCTATTCTTCACACAAGAGAATGGTACATTGGCTCAATTATCAAATGCCAGCTACTCTGAGAGCTGCTCTGAGAAATGAAACTCCATAAAACATGCAATGTACCTATGGAAATGGCTGGCTTCTGTTAAAAGCACCCCGTTTTAAAGATGAAGCGTAGAATTATGCTTGCCGTGGATGGGGCTGGGATTTGAAGTCAGGTTCATTCGCAAGTTTGTTTTCTTGACTCCCACTGTTGCTTTTCCATATGTCTGGGCCTTTGCAGGCTCCTTCCTGGACAGGAAAATGCCCTTTAACTCTTATCTCTCCCGAGGCACTATTCTTTGCTATCACTTCAAACCTCAGTTCACAAGCCTTGTCCTTTGAGAAGCCCTTTATCTTTCCTTCTAATTCCTTTCAACAGGCTTCCCATGGGAACTCTTTGGAAACCATTGTCTTTCCTTGGAACACTGCTTTGCAAATTAAATTTTTCTATTTTTTTAAAACTTGTGCATGTCATCTTGCAAGCTTTTAAATTTCTTCCTCAAAGAGAAGGAATAATTCCTTATTTTTTTCTTTTGTATTCCAAGCAGCATTATTCTATCCACGATGTTGCTCAAGACATACTTTCATAGACCATTAAAATTATAGAAAACTAGTATCATAGAATCTCAGCATTGAACCACAGTTCATCCAGACTATCCTTAAATTTCCCTCAGAGCTTTTTCTGATTTTTGTTGTTCTTTATTTTTTTTATTTTTTCAATAGAGACAAGGGTTCACTCGGTTACCCAGACTGGATTTCAGTGGCATGATCATAGCTCACTATAACCTTGAGTGGCCAGGCTGAAGTGATGGTCCTGCCTCAGCCTCCCGAGTAGCTGGGACTACAGGCATGTACCACCATGTTCAAATAACTGTTTTATTTTTTATTTTATTTTATTTTATTTTGAGATGGAGTCTCGCTCTGTCGCCCAGGCTGGAGTGCAGTGGTGCGATCTCAGCTCACTGCAAGCTCTGCCTCCCGGGTTTATGCTATTCTCCTGCCTCAGCCTCCCAAGTAGCTGGGACTACAAGTGCCTGCTACCACACCTGGCTAATTTTTTTGTATTTTTAGTAGAGATGGGGTTTCACCGTGTTAGCCAGGATAGTCTCAATCTCCTGACCTCGTGATCTGCCCGCCTCGGCCTTCCAAAGTGCTGGGATTACAGGCGTGAGCCACCATGCCAGGCCCAGTTTTAATTTTTTTTTTTTTTTTTTTTTTTAAGCAGAGATGGAATCTTGCAAAGTTACCCAGGCTGGTCTCACACTCCTGGGCTCAAGTGATCCTCCCACCTAGGCCTCCCACAGTGTTGGAACTACAGGTGTGAGCCACCATGCCTGGCTCAGAGCTTTTCCAGTAAAGTAGCATTCAGCCTCTGCTTGAGTATCTGAGTCGTGGGTCCACCTGCCAACGATACCTAAAGTGTCAGAGGGGCTATTTCTCTCTCATTTTCCATCTTATGCCCAATAACCAGCATGGTACATGGGAAAGAGGAGGTTCTGAAAGAGTATATGATGATTACAAGGATGAACAGTTTTAGTGAATTCACATCTCCATTCTCATTCTCTAAAATGGGAGTAAGAGGGTATGCTGAATTGAAATACAAGAGCAAGGTTTTAGAGTCAGCTGAAGTTACATCTGATTCCTGACTCTACCTCTTACTAGATGATGAACTTGAGAAAGTCACTCAACCTCTCTGGATTAATTTCTCAATTGTAAAATGGAGGTCATAGTGCCTCCAATGATTTCAATAATGAAGCTAAAATGAAATTATCTTGGCTCTCCTCCTTCCTAGAAGGGAGTCTTTGGAAAGCTACTTTAGATTTCTGTTTCTCTTCTGTATAAAAAGGATGATAATAACCCCTGCCTCACAGGATCATTGTGAGGATTACATAACTTAATAGGTAAAAAGTACTTAGAAAACCATTTTGCGTATGCTGAATCAATGTTAGTGGACATTATTATTGTTAGCAGTAGTAGTTAGTAGTAAAGAGCTTGATACAGAATAATTATTAGTAAATGGTAACCATTATTACCACTCATAATACAATTATCACTACTATTAGTAAGATGATGGAATGGAAACAATGATGACTATCATGGTGACTTATTACTAGTTCTGACTTTTATTGATATGACCTCAAATGATTAGGAGAACCCTGCTTTGTGATGATATCTTATTCTTTTTTTATGCAAACATGGCTAAAAGTATATGTGTGTGCATGTGTGTGTGTGTGTGTGTGCATTTAGATAATCCTTTTCTATACATGCAACAAATCTCACTCTACTACCTTATGGTTCTTCAAGCTTTGAGGCATGAATAAGTCACCACTTAAGGTTTATCTTCTTTAGGCAGAACAGTTCCAGTTTCTTCAACTGTCCAAGGAAACCCTTTACCAACATCTTGCATGTTTAATCCTCACATAATCTGGCCAACCTAACCATCACTCACTTATTGAGTAAAAAAAGCAATTTCTAAACAGCTTTCCTGGGATTTGGGGTGTATGTGTGTGTGTGTGTGTGTGTGTGTGTGTGTAGGCAGATAGGAAAAAACAGAGCAAGAAAGAGAGAAGTAGAAATTTTAAGAGCATTCAGGAAAATGTTAATTCTAGGTATATCTGGGTGATGGGCTTTTTATTTCCTACTACATTAAATGTCTTTATTTTTGAACTGCCTGAACAGCATACATAAAATACTTATTTTTCAGTAGACTGAAAGATTAATTAATGTTTTTCAAAATGCCATTAACTGTACTTATAGGATAATTAAAGATTGAATTTAAAATATGTGGATAGAGCTAGGAAAATGGTATGGTGGGACAAATATATGCTAGGACCATGAAAAAGAAACCTTATGGAATAAATTTAGCTGATTTTCAACACTTCTTAAGAGGGTACCTGTGAGCTTAAAGTGATGTTGGCCTGAATAACAGGTCTCTACCCCATTGTGCCCATGGCTCCTCCCTGTGCCCAGGTTGCTTGTCAGTGACTCAGACCAGCAATATGCAAGTATCTACAGCATACCTAAAGGTCATCTGGAAGACTTGGCCTTGGTTCACATGCTGGGTCCGGTTGTTGTAACCATGTAGCATTTCTCCAAAGAGGGTATCATTGAATTTGGAGTCAGGTTTGAGGCACTTGGGGCCCTCGCAGACATCTGAGAGCATTAAGCAGGATTTTCCATCAGGAGCCAGTTTGTACTCCTCCACGCAACTGTATGATAAAACAGAGCTGAGAATTAGCTTCACACCCTGAATGCCCCCATTGGGGGTGACCTAAAACCAAGGCCTCCTTTCCCTGCAAAACAGGTCAGAGTTTAGGAAGGAGACAGCTATTCTGCCTGGAACCTATCTAGGGCACAGATGTCTAGAGAGAAGCACATTAATACTGCAAATTGGTAAATTCAAGGAAAGTCATTTGTGACATTTTAGAGGAGTCAAGGGGACACCAGCATGCACATCCACACACAAAGCAAATTTAAAAACTGTTTCCCATGAACACACAGACTTTAAAAAGCATGACAGACCAATTCACAGGGAATTATCAACTAGTGTCTCAAACCAGAATCTATTCCCAGTGCATCTGTCAACGAAGCTTGAAGACTGTAGCAAATACAAGGTTTTTATCATCCTGGTAGCTCAGAGGTGAAACTTTCCAGGACCATGGACAGCACAAGGCTTCTGTTCACTTAGGGATTTTAGCAGCCTCCGTTAGTCTAACCACCCATTTCTGATAGCCAGAAAAGCCCTTGACCAGCCTTTGAGACAGCGATGGTCTCATCTATGGGCAAAACAGGCATCTGAATATTTGCAACTTGAAGATTTACAGGGACAAAGAAATCTCAGAGACGCGTGGGCTGGAGTGGATGGGGGTGGTTGGGGCAAGAAATCAGAGATCACAGCCCCTAAAAAATCATTCCAGAAACTGGAATTCTATGAGTGTCTACCTTTTCAAAGTTCACTGCTACACACTAGGGCTATGGTGCACATAAATAAGTAAAGACAGACAAGAAAATCATCTGTGAGACTAGACAGACCTGTACAAATTTCATTTTTCTCCTTGTGACCTATGTGAACATGAGTGAGTCATTTAATGTCTATGATCCCCAGTTTCCTCATGTGTAAAATACAGTAGACACTCCTACCTTTCTTAATTCAGTAGGATGCTATAAGGTCACACGATATATTGGCCACAAAAAAAAACCCAGGAATTGCAATGTACTTAACACAATAATCATAACAGTGGTAGTAATGGTGGTATTTCTATTTGTTGAGCGTGCACTATTCACTGAACACTTTATGTATTTATTATATAACCATGAAGAAAGAGTAATACCATCATTTCTGCTTTACACATAAGCAAAATAAGGAGCCAAGATGTAAAGCATGTCATACTATAAGTAGCAAAGTTGATATTCAAATTCAGTTCTGTTAGAAAAAGGGACATTTGTCTATTTTTGTCTCCTCCAAATCTAGTGCCTTCTATGTGTACAAAATGACCCTGGTTGGGTTATACCAGTTTGAGAAAGTATACAGCAGGCAATCGCTTATTTGCCTTTCTTTCAAAGGGCGTAGCAAAGATTCATTGATTCTAACTGCAAAGGGTCTCAGGAACTCAGATGGGAGAAGGAAGAGGCTCTGTATGGTGGTTTGGAAAGAAAATGTACACAGGTTGTGGGAAGCAGTAGCTGATGCTACAGATATAGAGTTGAACTGGAGGCAGAAAGAAGACAAGCAGAGCTGAAAACTTGACCCAAGATTACTCTAGTGAAAAGCCAGGAAGTCTCATGCATGAAGCAAACCGTCACTGTTTCTCCGCTTTCCCCAATCCCTGGTGTACTGCACTGATGCACTGATTGTCTTTCTAACGTTCACATGTTCCTTTCCATAGTGCAGTGGGGAAATCTCTTGGAAAAGGGCCCTGTCTCGGAGCCTTGGTAAAGTATATCCCCTTCTTTTTGCATCTGCTAAATATTACTAAGTCCCTTTTAATACAGTTGCAGTGCAGATGAAATGAGTGTATATGGAAGTGAATCGTACATGATGAGTGCTTGATAAAGTCTAGTTCCATCCATTTATTCAGAAAATATGGAGAAATGGTTTCCTGGGTATACTGGCTAGAGTTCTCTCTCTCTCTCTCTCTCTCTCTCTCTCTCTCTCTCTCCCCCATCCACACACACCCACATGCCTGTGTAACTGTGAATAAATATATTATTGTTGAAGTTGAGTAAACATTATCAAAGTCTGGCTGGGCGCAGTGGCTCACGCCTGTAATCCCAACACTTTAGGAGGGTGAGGCAGGTGGATCATGAGGTCAGACGTTCGAACCAGCCTGGCCAACATAGTGAAACCCTGTCTCTACTAAAAATAAAAAATAATAAAAATTAGCCAGGCATGGTGGCAGGTGCCTGTAATCCCAGCTACTCAGGAGGCGGAGGCAGGAGAATCACTTGAACCTGGGAAGTGGAGGTTGTAGTGAGCCGGGATCATGCCACTGCACTCCAGTTCAGGCAACAGTGTGAGACTCCATCTCAAAATCAAAACAAAACAAACCATTATCAAAGTCTATAGAGTAAAATATGGAACTTCTTCATTTCCCACTCCTCACTTCCTGTCCCAGAAGTCACCATTGTTAATTGTTATGTGCTATTCCGGGAGTTTTTCGATCATTTAAATACATATTGTGCGTGTATGTTTGTGTGTGTGTGTGTCTGTGTGCGTATACATACACATTTCTTTGAATTTGCAGACTAAATTGGGGGGATTTATATACACACACATATGCACATACACATTTCATAATAAACTCATAAACAGAATTACACTATATATTGTTGTGAGACATGCATTTGCACCTGATGCTATTTCTTGGAGATCTTTTCAAAATACTATACATATAGATCTATCTTTTTTAATGGTTATTTGGCATTGCACAGTATAAATGTACCATAATGCTTTTAACTAATTTTTATTGATGGGCACTTTGGCAGTTTATAGCTGTTTGTTATTACGAACAGTGCCATAATGAAGATCTTTGCACATATATCATTGCGCCCAACTATGTGTTTCTATAAAAGAGATACTCAGAAAAGAAATTGCTTGGTCAATGTTTTATGAATTTTAAAATTTTGATAGATCTACTAAATAGTCACCTGTAGAGTCTCTACCATTTACAATCCTATAATTGATGAATGGGAGATCCCATTTTTCTACATCTTTCATGTTCATTACTGCCAATCTAGGATAGGAAAAATAACTCATTTTTGTTTGGATTTGCATTTACCTTGTTACTGATTAAGTTCAGCACCTTTTCACATTATGGTCACTTGCATTTCTCCTTCTATAGATTATCCATCAATGTGCATTGACTATTTTTCTATTGTGATATTTGCCCTTTTCTTTGTATTGGTTTATAGATGCTCTAAATATTTTCTGGGTAGTTATCCTTCACCTTCCATATATATTAACATTTTTTCCAGTCTGTGCTTGTATTTTAATCTTGCTTTTGATATCTTATTACCTCTCTCTCTTGGTCTTTGTGTCTGAAATTTGTGCAATCTCTAGAAACCCACAAGATGATAAATATATTTCTGTATATTATTGTAGTATTGTATAGGTTTAAAAAATCTTTGGTTATTTAATATGTATAGCATTTATTTTTGAATGTAGTGTGAGTGGTTATTTTAACTGTTTTTTAAAATGGCTGACAATTGTCTGAAATGTGTGACCTTTCAACAACAAACTTGAAATGTTATTTTTTTTACACGTGTAATCCCTACATATGCCATGTATACATGTTTGGTGTTTTTCCTGTTTAATTATCTGTATATTCCTGCAGTAATTCCAAGCTATTTTAATTACTATAGCTTTATTGCCTGTTTTGGGTATAGTAATAAAGTAATACTCCTCCCCTTCATCAACACTAGTTTTCTATTTCCAAAGTCCTGACTGCTCTTCCATGCTTTTCCTTTCAAATGAATTTCAGAATGGGCTTATCAAATTATATGCAAATCCCTAGTGGAATTTTGGGTGGCCATGCTTTGAATTTGTAAACTAAATTGGGGGAAGATTTTAATACTAATTTTATTTACTTTTCTTTTATTTAATAAATACGTTTTGCAAGTTAACTCTGTGCTGGGCACTTCTGATAATTGTGACAAAGACATCTTGCATTAACAACACCATGTCCTCTTCCTGGACTTACATGTCTAAGCCTGTCTTGCAGTTGGGCTGAAGGGGCCATATAACTGAATTCTGAAAAATGGAATCTGTGCTGACACCATACAAGTCACTACCAGACTTAGCCTTTTCAAAACATCCTGTGATTTTCAAGCTGCCTCTTCCCTTGTTATGGCAAGCTTGGAAACCATGTGTTCCTGATGCATTCTACAGGATGGAGGAAGACTGCCACAATCACAATAGACTTTGCACAATTAAGAAATAAACTTTTGTGCACAAACTTCTGGTTGGGGGAGGAGGCTCACTGGCTACAGGAAGAAAGCTTATCTTATCCTGACTAATACAGCATCTTTATAATTTGGAGTCCTCTAATTCAGAAACACAGTTTGTATCTCTATCAACTGCTCTTTTAAAACATTCAGTGAAGTTTTTGATTATTTGCATAAAGGTTTTGCACGTGTCTTTTGGAGATTATTCATGGGCATTTATGAAAGGCACTATGCTGTAGAGGTTTATCCAAGTATGTTTTGGATCCAGACTAACAGAGTCCAAATCCTGAGTCTGCCACTTACCAGTTGTGTGACTTCAGACAAACTACGTAACCTCTCTGTACTTCCTTTGCTTATGTGTAAAGATCATATGTGCCTTTTAGAGTGAAAAATTACACTGTTGCATTCTTTTAAACTTCAGGAATAGGATCAGTTTTTCATGTATGCTTTCTTTTATGTTTTCTACATAGTTATTACTGATTTGAGAAAAGCTGTTACTGATTTTCCTAAGTTGATGTTGTATCCTACGAACATAAAGAACTTAAACATTCTAACATGTCTACTAAATTTTTCTAAATGGATAAGCATATATTTGCTCAGTTTGGGTATTAGGATTACGGAATAAGTTAAAAAACTATCCTTTTTTGTTTCTTTCTCTGGATCAGTTTATATAGGAAAGATGTTATCCATTACTTGATAATTAGGTAAGTCTTGCCTATAAAATCCCCTGGGCTTGATGACTTCTTTTCAGTTGTAGATATTTAGC